CAAATTTATAATAAATATCTCCATTCTTCATTACTGAGTATGTTTACCATTTCTTCCACCAATTTATTATCCACTTATTGTATCTGTAAATGTTTTTCAACAATACATTGTAAAACCAACTATATATGTAAAAGGAACCAAATACTATTATCTAATTGCTAATAAATAAACACCAGCTACTCTAGCACTTCTATATGCTGGGAAAGACTATTAACTATTGGCCCTTTCCTTCTAAGCAGTAATCTGAGATAAACACTTCTTTTATTACAGAATTTCTTCATCCCAACTATACAAAGCCTATCTTCTCAGCAGTATTTTTTTTTTAAAAGCAAGATTATGCTTCTAGAGCATATTTTTTTGAAGTTTATTTTATTGGGGTAAGGAACACTTTTAATACAAGATCTATTCTCCTAACGAATTTTTAAGGTACCATGCTATTCAGCAAATCTCTAGAATTTACTTGAGTTTAGCTAAAAAAATTAGACCTGTTAATTAGCACCTCCCTTTCCCCCTCTTTCTCCAGCAATCATTTGTTCTGTAAATTTGGTTCCTTTCATATTTCAACAGTACTACATTCCTGAAGAATTTCACAAGAAAACAAATATGAAATGACCACTGCAGAAAACACTGGGGTTTGGCTTCAAATTTACAAAGATCACTACATGGAAATTTTATCTAATAACATAGTAGGCTTTAAATATCTAACACACAATTAAATAAACATAAAAATAACAAATCCAACAAGAATACAAGTTTTTAATTTAAGAATTATTAACTATACCTTATCTTCAGATGGACAAAGATATAAATATTGGAATGTGGCAGTTATGTTTTTAGAGAATCTTGGCCCAAAAACATCTTTATCAGTTCCAAATTGATGACGAGACTGTCGCACAATTGAGTCAATTACATATAATCCTGGAACCTTGTACTCTGGTTTACACTGCAAGGGTAAGAATGTAAAGTCAGTACAAGAAAATCAAACTCACAATCACTCATTACTTTCATATTATGCAACCTTATTCATCCAATCACTGTTTAGAAACTACTCAAATGTTTCAGCCATCTTATTAGCTAACTTGTCAAATTTCCCACCAGTCCCTAAAGAATACCATTCTTAGATACTTCAGACCCAAGATTTTAGATGCATCTGATTCCTCTCCCTCCTCCAATTTCTCAGAATTGATATTACTTTATTAAACCCTAAGCCACTTTAATATAAATTCACCTAAGAACATCTCTATTCCAAA